TCAAAGTATCAAATAAAAAGCTTCATATAATCTATTATATATTGTATTCCTCATTTGCTATATTATAATATAAACTTTTTAAATATAAAAGTAGTAAATAATACTAATCTTTTGAAGGTAATATACCAAATCTTCTACTTTTTGTTAAAATTTTAAAAATCAAAAAGATAGCAAAAGTATTTATAATATTTGTAAGTTTCTAAATTTAAAAAATATTTTTCTAATCTGTTTGTTTTAGTCTTAAATTTTTTCTTTTAAATATAAATTCTATTTGCTATAGTGTTTCAAGAATATTTTTCTAGTTTGAATGCCAAATATATAAGAGGAGTCTACTTTAAAAAAAAGGCTTAACTCTTTAAAACCATCTATAATTACCTGTTTCTTTGTATATCATGTCTGTAGTCTTTATTGACAATATTCTGTAACTAGAAATAGAAGTTTATTAGAACTTTAGACTTCAACTTTTTTATTTTATATTTGGTAAAAATTTTGTTTTGGGTTCTTATTTGTAATTACTTTTATTTTTAGACCCTTATTTGTAAATTTACTTTTATTTTTTTTTAGTATATATATTATAATATATATTTATAAATTTAGATAAATGTATATGTTATATACTGTAATATATTTATATATCAAGTCTATATATAAATTATAATTTGTTTTATAACAATTAAAATAAACTAGATTTTATTGTTTGGTTAGAGTTAGATAAAGTTAGAATATAATACAAAAAAGTATTTATAATAAAATTTTGCAAAAAATTTTTTTATTAAAGTACGAAAAATAGTTTCATATATAAAATTTTGAGTTATAACTTTTGTCAAAATAAACATTAGTTTTAAATCTTTTTAATTGTATTATATTATATTTGATCTTGAAATTTGATTGGTTAGTCATCTAAAATACAATATATAAAGGAAGTGTCATTTATCAACTGATTTTTTGTAAATAGTAAAATTTTCCCCTTCTCTTAAATGAGGCTGCAATAGCTAGCTGTTGAGTTTGAAGAACATAAGTTTAAAAGAAGTTTTAAACTTCTGAAGAAGGCAAAGTATTACTAGGCAAGTTACTTCTAAATATAACATAGCAGTTTAATAGTATACTTTAATCACAAATAGAAGTTCTAGTGACTGCAAGGTAAAACTTAATAGATTTAACTTTTGGTTAAGATATTATAAGCTATAATAGATACATCGTCTATATAAAAATTTAAACATCCTATAATCCTTCAATATTTTTCTTTTTTTGCTGGTTTAATTAGTAAATTCAAAATAATTATGAAGATACTTTGTAGTTTAAAGATATATAAAATTTTTTTAAGTAGAGCTAAGCTACCAATCATCATTTTTAAATTTGGACTATCAGTTATACTTTTGGGCAGTAATATCAAAAAGTACAATACTGGTTATAAATTAGAATGTGTGATATAGCAAAAAATTTGACATACTACAGTATATAACATGCCATCAGCCAAAATTTATGCTATGCTATACTATAGGCATATCATAATACTAGAAAATAGAAACCATTTAAAGTCTGAAGGAACTAGAACAATTTTTTATGTTATACCAAATCTAGCCAATAATATCAACTTACAATCTGGCTTTCAATTATATTTTGTGCACAGTTAGCAATTTATCAACAATCTATCACACAAAATATGATTTAAAGTCATATGATAGATTGTCGATAGATGACAACTGTGCACAAAATATAATTGAAAGCCAGATTGTAAATTTTTCTTTGACGGCATTCATATACAATACTCTTATGAGATGTGCGTTATTTCGGGATGCCCATGGGCGCTATTTCGAAATCATAAATGTCATTTTTAAAGGTCCCGATTTTTGGAATAACACCCATGCTCATTATTTCGTGGTTTTACAGTAAGTAGCATGCCTATAGACTATTTTTGTTTTGGGCATGCCATGATGGCAATTTTAGGTAGCGCTCCCACAAAAAATTGTTCATCTCCAGCAGGGCTGATGATTTTCTGCGGCGATAAATTGTTAATTCCGTCTGTGACGAATTCAAATTCTGCAAAATTTCTGTGCATTAAAATTCATAATTTCTGCGTGAATTCTGCATTGTTCATTTATAAATTCTGTGTTGGTTATATAGAAATCTTGAATATTCTGCAATCAATTTGTCGTTTAGTCTTTGGAATATTTAGGATATTAAGCAAAAATTTTTGCCAGCCACGCTCGTATCTCAGGTTTATTTATTTTCTACATCGGAACTTTTCGGAAGTTATATTTTTAAAACCTTGTACCTATAAAAAAACTAAATAATTTATAAATCCCTACTTTCTGCGGCAATTCCGTGCTATTCTTAATACATTCCGTGTTTACAACCTAATTCTGTGATTTCTGCGGCATTCCATGAAATGCAGAAAATCATCGGCCCTGATCTCCAGTAATTTTGACCAATCAAAATTTAAGATCAGGTGTCAAAACAAACGTGTTTTGTTTTTTAAGTAAAAAGTTACGCGTAAAATGAAAACCAAGAAAACCATGTTATAATTAGGGTTAGGATTAGAACAATATAATTCTTATTAGCAAAACATCACAAGGAACATTTTTTATTAAACCGCAGAAGGTAGTTTCCTAATTAAAATTTAGAGTTATTCTTGTTTTTGTTTCGATTTTTACGTTACACCTGATCCTGAAATTCAATTGGTCAAAATTACAGGGGATGAACAATTTTTTGATGGCATGCCTATGACTACCGTGCGACACACCCTATTATAAGTACATGTTTATATATGAGTGTATTCAATCTAAAATTTTTTCTGCTAAATTAATTTAACAAATCTATCTGTTTGATAGACCTTAACTATCTAAATTACTATCACATAGTTATGCAAAGGGCGGATTTGAAAAATTTCATAACACTAAAACATTGACCTAATTTTTATGAATTGATTTTAAGATTTATTTTCACAATATTGTATTTAAGAATCGTGGTTTTAATTAATTCGTGATGTTTTTACTCTTTTGGAATTTCAACGCTATCTACAGGATTGCTGACAATTGTCATTTTTGATAATGCTTTTATGATCTCTTGCATGTTAATGGCCTTTGATGTGTACTTATTATGTTCTTGATGTTTTTGTACGATATTTGGTGATTTTTTATCCTCCTTTTCATCTTCTAAGGATTGCTTATCATCTCCTAAAAATTGTTTATCAGCTTCTAAGAATTGATTTTTAATTATTCTTTTGTTGCTTTCATGCGCAAATTCGTCGATCCAAGTAGTAATTAACGCATTAATATATGTCGCGGCTGATTATGAAATCGGATTATTGTGAAATTTGGGGTCTCAATTTGAAAATATAGGCCCTACCAAAATC